TGACACAGGGTTTAAGTGATCCTGCTCAGGGAAAAATGCTCTCAAACCTATTGTGTGCCCAGCCAGCAACTACTGAAAGAGTGTATGGAAATGAAACTTCATTCGTGGCAGTGGATCCCGGGAAAGAATATTCTATGTTTGGAAGAACTGCAGTTTCAGTACAGGTGTCTGATTTTTTTTTAATATTGAATCACTGTGAGATACATGCATTACAAAATTGTTCATGATTGCACTTCAGTTCTACAGTGTTTCAGCACCCTTCACCAGCATAATTTTCCAGCGGGTTATCTGATTTGAAGAAGGACAAAGATGCGTCTGAGAAAAGTCCAGGACGGGCTGGATGGTGGCTGGTCTGAAAATCAATCCTGATAAGGAACATCACAAAGAAATGAGAGCGCTGAGTCCCAGCCAGGGTGCTCAAAGCAGTGACATTCATTTCCCCCGCCAAGACTGAACAGGCTGCCCCACAGACCGAAGAGAGATGGGCGTGCTCAGAGCTTTCCCAATGATAACTCAGAGCTTTCCCAATGATAACTCAGAGCTAAGTCCCAGGAAGTCACTGAGAAAACCAATGTGTTGCGTCAGCCCTCTGTTTGCTTTGGGGCACACCCTGTGGTATTCCAGGGCTACTCCCTGCATGCGCTGGGGGTGGGGAGATTCAATCCCAGCAGAGCTGGGAGTGGGATGGGGGGGCATGCAGTGCTGGAGCTGAACCCTAGACCTCCCCCATGCAAAGCATGTGCTCCAGTTCATTGAACCAACTCTCCCGCCCTGAAACTAGTCTGGAGAAAATAGCTGATTGACGCCCTTAACATTTTATTTATCGTTTTTGCTTTAATAGAACATAAAGTAGGTGCTTTCCCGAAGAAGGGGAGAGTCCCTACAAATACACAGAGGAGGAAATGACAGTGTCACGCCAGGGAGAGGAGTCTTAAAAACAACCGCAGAAACTCAGAGCTTCCAGAATGGTGAGAAAACAAAATTATTTTTTTTCTTTTTGGATCCTATCCGGTGATGCACAGGTGTTACTTCTGGCTCATGCACTCGGGAATTACTCCTGGTGGTGCTCAGAGGACCATATGGGATGCTGGGAATCGAACCTGGGTCGGCCGCGTGCAAAGCAAACACCTTCCTTGCTGTGCTATCTATCGCTCCAGCCCCAAGAAAATAAAATTTTCACTTGCTTGTGTTCCCACACCTCTTTCTGCCCCCTCCCCCTTAATCTATAGTACTTTGTTCTAGTAAGTGAACAATCTGATGGCTGAGATTTCCCGCCTCCTCTCATTGAAGTGGTTTGACTGAAGTTCATTTGCCCGGGTCAGGAAACACTACTACACAGTATTAACAGCTACCAGGGTTAAATAAGAAGCAACCAGCTACAGGAGCCAGATTCCCCAGTGTGTGGGCAGAAAGAGCAACAGACACTGGGTAGCAAGCTCCTCCCTACCCCCACCAAGAGGGCAGCGTCAGAACGACACCACGCAGCCAAACATAGGAAGATGATTGCATCAGGGAACGGGGAAGAAAGAGTTCATTGTTCTGTGCCTTTTGAAACAAAAATTGGGGGCCACACTTGGCTGTGCTCAAGGGCCTACTCCCGGCTCTGTGCTGAGATCACTCCTGGAGGGGCGTAGTGGACCAGAGGCCATATGTGGTGCCCGGGGCTGAACCAGGGTCACAATGCCGCAATGCCTTACCTGCTGTACTATCTCTCCAGCCGGGTCAGCATTTTGGATTTTTTTTTTAAATACTCAGTTGTATTTTCATGCATTTAAACAAAATATTTTCAACCTGAATCTTGAATTAAGAATAAAACATTTAAAATTGTTATTTATTTTTGTGGGCTGGAGCAATAGCACAGCAGTAGGGCATTTGCCTTGCACGCAGCCGACCCGACCAACCCAGTTTCGATTCCTCCGCCTCTCTCGGAGAGCCCGGTAAGCTACCGAGAGTATCTCGCCTGCAGAGCAAAGCCTGGCAAGTTACCCGTGACGTATTCAATATGCCAAACACAGTAACAACAAATCTCAAAAAGTTACTGGGCCCGAGCAAATCGATGAACAATGGGAGGACAGCGTTTTGTTTATTTTTGTATTTGGGGCAACACCCAGCAGTGCTCCAGCCTTACTCTTAGCTCTGCACTCAGGAATCACTTCTGGTGGTTCTCAGGGGACTATAGAGGTTGCCAGGAATCAAACCCCGATGGACCACACGCAAGGCAAGCACCTTACCCACTGTACTATTGCTATGGCCCTTACATTTTTTTCTTTTAATTTTTGGGCCACACCATGAGGCTCAGGGGTTACTCCTGGCTCTGCACTCAGGAATTACTCCTGGAGGTACTTGGGGGACCATATGGAATACCGGGGATTGAACCCGGGTTTGTCATGTGCAAAAGCAAATGCCCTACCAGCTGTACTCTCTCTGGTCCCAAGGTCCTTAAAATTTTTTTATTTTTCACTTATTTTTTTTTCTGGAGGTGACCCCAGGCAATGCTCAGGGGGTACTCCATGCTCTGTGCTTCAGAGATCAGATCAGGCAGTGCCAGAGATTGAACCAGAGCTTTCTGTATGTGAAGTATGTGAGGTGGCTCTTTGAGCACTCTCTCTCTCTCTCTCTCTCTCTCCCCCTCCCCCTTTCTCTCTCTCTCTCTCTCTCTCTCTCTCCCCCTCTCCCACTTTCTCACTCTTCCCTCCCCCTTTCTCTCTCCTCTCTCTCTCATTCCAAAATCAAAAAATCTTTTCCTGGGGCTGGAGCGATAGTCCAGTGGGTAGGGCTTTGCCTTGCATGCGGCCGACCCGGGTTCGATTTCCAGCATCCCATATGGTCCTCTGAGCACCACCAGGAGTAATTCCTGAGTCCAGAGCCAGGAATAACTCCTGTGCATAGCCAGATGTGACCCAAAAAGAAAAAAAAAATCTTTTCCTAGCGCATTCTGAAGAAGGTAACAATAAAACAATAAAAGCAAGAACAGGAAGATTGAGAAAAATGATCACTGTCACTGTATGTCTGTATGTGGAGTTAAAAAAAAGATTCTGTGACATGAGTGTATCAGCAGCCTGATGGTGCCTTCAAACTTCTAGATACCCCAAAATTGCTGTTGTGCCTTTGGCCAGACCCCCAACAACTTGGTGCCAAGTTTACCAAGGAAGTAAACGGCCAAAAGTTAGGTATGTGGAAGACATACCCGCAAACCACCTCTGTGGGAAGCCAAGAGCCCTCTCATAGACTCTGGCCGTGGTTCCCATGTTAGGAACTGCTTGGGACAGACATTGGTGACAGTCTCCCAGGACTTCCTGATCAATAGCCACATAACATCAGGCTGACAGTTATCTTATCTGGCCTTATCTATAGTAACCTCCAGGATGCATCTACTGCCCTAAGACCCTTTGATATGCAAATGTAAAGCTCAGGATGCACCTACTGCCATAAGATCCTTTGATGTACAAAAGTTTACCTTGAATGTTAGGTAAAGCTCTCTTTGCTGACCTTACTATGTATGGTTATATTGCTTCTGCTTGTGACTGGGCTATCCCAGACCCTATATAAACAGCCTGTATCCCTCAATAAAGCCTGTCCTTTTTTTCTCTCTGTTTCTAAACTGTACTCTGTCTCTTGTGTCTCATGTTCATTCTGTTGGTCCCTCCTTGTACCATCGGATCAACCCCCAGGCCACCTCCATGGGCCAGAGAGTGGTTAGGCCCCCTCCCCCCCCACCGCATACCTCCAGCTCAGCTATAAAATTGGAGGTATGGCCTCTCTAGTTCCTGATCAAACTACTTAACGACCATGATCCCAGAGACTCAGAAACAAATCTCGGAACCCAGCGGCTTTTGGCAGAAATGTGTCTGGTTTACAGTAGGTTACTGGTGCCGGGCCACCCAGGGGGGAAAGGTTGCTGTCTCTCCGCTGCTCCCCCTTAGCGGCTCAGTGGCCACCATCCTCCAGAGGCCACTGGACAATCAGGTTTGGGTCCAAAGTGACGAGACACACGGGGCCTCATGGGATGGGGGTGGAGTCGGCCCTTTTCTCCCTGCCCAAACGAGATCCTAAGTCGCTGCCCACAAACAACCTCTCTGGCTCCTGATCAAGCTGCTTAACGGTCATGATCCCAGAGACTCAGGAACAAATCTCAGCAGGTTTTGGCAGAAATCCCTCCAGATTTCATTGTTAAAATTTCGAAATTTCAAAATCGTATGGCCACTACTGCGGTCATGCAACATCATATGTTATTCATAACCAGCAGGAGAAAACAAATTGTCTACAGTTGCCTTTTTGACAGATCTGAGTGTTGGGGTAGAATCCCAAGTAATAATGGTGGGTCTGGTGTTGAAATATTGAGTGTGATCAAAGTAGAGAGAGAGTAATGTGGAAATCATATGCCCTACAGATAGGGGGAGGGTGAGGGATGGGAGGTATACTGGGGTTTTGGGTGGTGGAAAATGGGCACGGTGGAGGGACAGGTGTTTCATCATGTATGACCGAGACTTAAACCTGAAAATTTTGTAACTGCTCTCACAGTGATTCAATAAACAAATCTATAAAAAAGGAAAAAAAAAGTAAGGTGGTGTTCATGCCCAATTCAATCAGCCTAATCAATGGCTAAGTAAATAGCAATACTACATTAAAAAAAAGGGAAAGAAAGATGTATGGGGCAGGAAAGAGAGCTCAGAGGGCTGGGTGTAAACAGGGCAGGAGAGAGAGTTCAGAGGGCTTGGTGAGCCCGGCACTGCAGGGTCCTTCAAGCTTCGTCTGGAGTAATCCCTGGACACAGAGCCAGAAGTAACTCCTGAACACTGCCAGCTATGCTCCCCACCTTAAAAAAAAAAAGGTAAATTTATGGAATAAAATAATCTCAAGCATCATTTTAGGACTTTTTCCTTTGCACACTTCTCTGCCTAAGCTTCCAGGACAAGTTGGGAACAAAAAAATGTGAGGGTCATTACCAAAGACTCATTCTCTGAAACCCGAGTGCTCATTCCCGTCAGGCCACAGGTTACCTTCATGTTGGCGGACATGTCACCCTGCAACAGCGTCCACGTATAGCGGATGATGCCGTGATCGTCTGAGCTCTCGCGGCCGTCCAGAATCACCCCATCTGTGGGCAGGTGCAGAACCACGTCTTTCCCAGCCTTGCTCAGTGGAGGCTCATCCCTTCCTGTGGGAGAGAGGAAGGAATTCCTGAGAGGCAATTTCCTGCTTTTCCTGACTTTTGGGGAGCCACAGGCAGCAGTGCTCAGGGCTTACTCCCAGCTCTGTGCTCAGGGAATCACTGGTCTGGGGACCATTTGTGGTGCTGGGCATCAAACTGGATTCAGCCACTGAACCTGCTATACTATGGCTCTGACTCTTTTTTCTAAGCCAATAAATACATATTCATTCTTGAGGCCAGGAAGTAGTCCAATTGGTTTGAGTGCATGCTGTGTACTGGAGGTGAACTCTGTGGTATTGGAAGCACGGCTGGGTGTGACCCACAAACCAAAAGAAAGAGATTCAGGATGTGGACACCTAACCGATGGCTGCTTCAAGATGATTGGAGAAACACAGAAAACTAACAAGGGACCAGGGCTGATGCATTAGCCTGATCCTTCCTCGCCAAGCCAAGGGTGCCAGTTGGAGACCAGAACCCTAACAAGGCCCCTCTTTTCTGCCCTATCCCCCATTTCTCTCAACTCCGGACACTGCTGGTGGCTGTCTTACACGATTGGATCAGAGAATAAAACACAAACACTGTCCTCCCGTTGTTCATCGATTTGCTCGAGCGGGCCCGGTAACGTCTCCATTTTTTTTTTTGAGATTTGTTGTTACTGTGTTTGGCATATTGAATACGTCATGGGTAGCTTGCCAGGCTTTGCCGCGCGAGATACTCTCAGTAGCTTGCTGGACTCTCCAAGAGGAGCGGAGGAATCAAACCCGGCTTGGCCGGGCAGGCTGCGCTCAAGACAAACGCCCTACTGCTGTGCTATCGCTCCAGCCCCTGTGCTATCACTCCAGCCCTGATCAGAAAATGGGAACATAAATATTCATGGGCATCAGAGAGAGGTTGGTTGGGAAGTTGGAGGTTGGAGAAAGGGTGGATCATCACTGGACAACAAGACAAGCCAGGCAGGAGGCAATTTTTTGGCTCTCATCTGGCTGTTCTCCCAATGTGAGCTCCTGCTTAGCCTGAAGTGTGTAGCAATGCATCTCAGTATCTGCACAGGCTGCGTGCAGATCATAATGCTGGACACAAAATTGAAGGACTGCAGAATCTTGGAGGTGGCATGCTCTGATGCAAAGTGCCTGGGCTGTGTGTGTGGGTCGGTCTAGGGGAGGGGTTGTGTCTCCTGACAGGAGTCTGTGTGCTCAGTGCTGGAGGAAATGAAGAAGTGGCAGAAGGATGGGTCTGGAGGGGAAAAAAAGGATGATTGGAGAAACACAGAAAACATTTTTGGGTGGAGGTTAGTTAAGACTGAGGAGGGTCCAGTATGACAACAATAGCTGGAAATGGTCACTCTGGACAAGAACTGCGTGTTGAAAGGAGGTAAAGGGATATACATGATGGCCTTTCAGCATCTGTATTGCAAACCATAATGCCTAAAATTAGAGAGAAGAGAGAAGGGGGGGTGCCTGCCATTGAAAAAGGCTGGGGTGTGAGGGATACTGGGGACACTGGTGGTGGGAAATATACCTGGTGAAGGGACAGGTGTTGGAACACTGTACGACTAAAACCCAATCATGAACAGCTTCGTAATGCTCTATCTTACAATGATTCAATAAAAAAAAATTTATATAAAATAAAATTTAAAAAAGTATCACTATCACTATCATCCCATTGTTCGTCAATTGACTCGAGCAGGCACCAGTAATGTCTCCATTTGTCCCAGCCCTGAGATTTTAGCAGCCTCTCCTTACTTGTCTTTCCCAATGACCATATTGGAGGCTCTTTCAGGGTCAGGGGAATGAGAACCATTATTAGTACTGTTTTTGGCATACCTAATACACCATGGGTAGCTTGCCAGGCTCTGCCGTGATTGAGATAAATATGAACTGCAATTTATAGGTGTGGGCTCAAGATTAAATTGGTATAGACATCTGCACTTGTATGTTCATTGCTTCACTGTTTACAACAACCAAAATCTGGAAAAAAAAAACCCGTGTGCCTAAGAACAGATGACTGGTTAAAGAAACTCTGGTATATCTACACAATGAAATACTATGCAGCTGTTAGAAAAGATGAAGTCATGAAATTTGCATATGAGTGGGTCAACATGGAAAGTATCATGTTAAGTGAAATGAGTTAGAAGGAGGGGGACAGACACAGAAAGATTGCACTCATCTGTGGAATATAAAGTAACAGAATGGGAGACTAACACCCAAGAATAGTAGAGATAAGGACCAGGAGGTTTACTCCATGGCTTGGAAGCCGGCCTCAAATGCTGGGGGAAAAGGCAGCTCAGAGAGAGCAGCGAACACCAAGTAAAGGGTATTTGGAGGACCTGACTGGGTTGGGAGATGCGAGCCAAATCTAGATTATAGATCAAACACAATGATCACTCAATGCCTCTATTGCAAACTACAGTACCCAAAAGGAAAGAGAGAACAAAAAGAAATGCCCTGCCACAGAGGTGGGGTGGGAAGGGGGGTGGTGGGGTGGGGGTGGTGGGAGGGATACTGGGATCATTGGTGGTGGACAATGGGCACTGTTGGAGGGATGGGTACTCGATCATTGTATAATTGAAATGCAAGTACGAAAGTTTACCACAGTGAAACTTTACCACACAGTGATTCACTAAAAAAATAATAATAATAAAGAAAGAAGATAAAAAAAACCAAACAACTTAATGCAGAGCCCTGCAGCTTGCAGCAGAAAAGTGAATGGACTATGTGTTAATCTACACCACCATGACTGCCCAGAGGGGAAAGGGTGTTGCTCTCTTCTGCCTTTTTCCCTCTGGAAAGAAAGATGGCATCCGCTTCGGAGCTTTATGGAAAGCCAGGTATGAGCCGGTCATGACGGGGCGACTGAAACCTCATGGGAAGGGGGGTGTTCCCGGCTCATCCTTCATGCCATACCAAGGTCAGGAGTTGCCCTCCACGAGTGGCTCTCCGACACGGCCATGGCTCCAGAGCCACAGAAACCAATCTCATAATTATCTGATTCTCAGCAGAAATACTTCCAGTCTTAATAAGTAAAATACCAGAAATCCAAAATCGCGCAGCCACAATAGTGGCCGCGCAACATCATTTGGTTCTTGTAACCAGCTGTAGAAAACAAATTATTTCACAATGCCTTTTCAGCATGTCTGTTTTGGGGATGTAAACTCTAACTAATAATGGTGCATCTTTTGTCGAAACAATGAATCTAATCAAAGTAGATAGAGTGTTAACTAGAATTCATCTGCCTCACAGGCATTGGGAGGGTTGGGAGGGGGGTTTATTGGGTTCTTGGTGGTGAAAAATAAGTATTGGTAAAGGGAAATGTGTTTGATAATTGCATGACCGAGACTTAAACCTGAAAGCCTTGTAACTTTTCCCACAGTGATTCAATAAAAACAAACAAACAAAAAAACCCCAAACTTATGCAAGATAAAAAAAAATAAATCAGTATAAATTCAAAAAGAAGTATGAAGAACAATAAAGTGTTTACAATATTTTTGCTCCAAGAGAATGATACCGAGCCAGAGAGATAGTACAGGGGTTAAAGCTCTTTCCTTACGTCCCAGTGACCCCAGACTGATTCCTGGCACTACAATGTCGGGAGTGATCCCGGAGGACAGTGCGAGGAAGAAGCTCTGAGCACCACTGGATGTGGCCCCAAAACAACAGCAAAAATCTATTTCCTTCCTCATTATTGTACCTTTATCCTAATGCTGACATGATCCTTCCTCACCAGGGCACATCTGCCCTCCTGCTGACATGAGGCTTCCTCGTCTACCCTCATGCTGACTGATTCTTTCACATTATCGGACATTTATCCTCATGTTAACATGAGACTCCCTCACTCTGGAACATCTGCTCTCGTTGACAGAAACCTCCTCCCTGTTATCAGAGGCCTACATTCATGCTGACCCAACGCTTTCTCATCAGGGTTTCTCTCCCCTCACACTGACCCGAAGCTTCCTCACCAGGGTTCCTCTCTGTTAATGCTGACAGACTTCCTCAATAGGGTTTCTTTTCCCTCACACTGACCCAACCCTTCCTCACCATGGTCCCTCCTTCCTCACGCTGACTGAATACTTCCTCACCATGATTCCTCTCCCCTCATGTTGACCCAATCCTTCCTCACTATGGTTCTTCTCCCCTCATGCTGACCCAACCCCTCCTCACCATAGTTCCTCCTTTCTCATCCTGAGTCAACCCTTCCTCTCCATGGTTCCTCCTTCCTCACGCTGACCCAATGCTTCCTCACCAGGGTTCCTTTCCCCTAACACTGAGCCAACCCTTCCTCACAATGGTTCCTCCTTCCTCATGCTGACTGAATGCTTCCTCACCATGGTTCCTCTTTCCTCATGTTGACCCAACCCTTCCTCACCATGGTTCCTCCTTTCTCACGCTGACCCAATGCTTCCTCACCATGGTTTCTCTCCCCTCATGCTGACCCAACCCCTCCTCACCATAGTTCCTCCTTTCTCATCCTGAGTCAACCCTTCCTCTCCATGGTTCCTCCTTCCTCACGCTGACCCAATGCTTCCTCACCAGGGTGCCTTTCCCCTAACACTGAGCCAACCCTTCCTCACAATGGTTCCTCCTTCCCCATGCTGACTGAATGCTTCCTCACCATGGTTCCTCTTTCCTCATGTTGACCCAACCCTTCCTCACCATGGTTCCTCCTTTCTCACGCTGACCCAATGCTTCCTCACCATGGTTTCTCTCCCCTCATGCTGACCCAACCCCTCCTCACCATAGTTCCTCCTTTCTCATCCTGAGTCAACCCTTCCTCACCATGGTTCCTCTTTCCTCACGCTAACCCAATGCTTCCTCACCAGGGTTCCTTTCCCCTAACACTGAGCCAACCCTTCCTCACAATGGTTCCTCCTTCCTCATGCTGACTGAATGCTGAATGCTTCCTCACCATGGTTCCTCTCCCCTCACGTTGACCCAACCCTTCCTCACAATGGTTCCTCCTTCCTCACACTGACTGAATGCTTCCTCACCATGGTTCCTCTCCCCTCACAT